ACTACCCAGAGGGACCAAATAGTTGAACTGGTAGGCTTGGGAGCATAGTCGCAGGGGACATCAAGCTCAAGTGGCATAACATACTACACAAAATATTGTTCCACCTCCTACTTTGGTGAGTAGTGAATGGGATCTTAAAATCTTACAAGCAGCCATCTCTAGATGCAATGATGGGTCTCTCCTCATCCAGAGCAAAGAAGAATGAAGAAAACTAAAGATTCATGGAAACAATTAATCCTAGCGACTGGTACACCATGCGATCCTCAGCCTATACGACTATGAGACAAGAAGAACTAGAAGATGCCCAGCTACCACTATCAATCACTCAGAGGGAGATCTGTGTAGGAGATCCTGGATAGAGAGGGAGAAAAATGTGGAACAAAACTCAAAATCATTTGGGAGAAAAAAAAAAGGCTGAAGGGACCAGATTTGCTGGTCTGATAGAGCCTGGTGGAACCACTGAGACTATGGCCCCTAGCTGCCTTTCAGGTCTGGAATTGAACCTATATCTATGGCTTCCAGACAAACAAAAGGCAGGCATATGAGTTGAACATGTACCTGAGGTAGATACACTCCTTGGAGAGAACAATCATGGGAGAAAGAAGGGCTGTGTATGCACAGGGAAACAGCTCAGGGGGCAGGAGTACATGGAGGGATGAACACAGGGAAGAGATAACTATCAGGAGGAAGTGGGAGGGGAGCTGTTGCATTGGGATATATTGTGGTCAATGTCATGAGACAATGTATATGTGAACTGCTGTATGGAAAGTGACTTAGCTCTGTAAACTTCACCCAAATCAAAATAAAAAAAAAATAAAATAAAATAAGTGCAAAGACCTGGAATTAGAAAACCTAAAGGGAAGACAGTGGTCTGAATTTTTCAAGCTTAAAGAACTGAAGAAAAAATTCAAACCTCAGGTTGCAATATTGAAGGATTCTATGGGCAAAACATGGAATGATACAGGAAGCATCAAGAGAAGATGGAAGGAATACACAGTTAGTGTAACAGAAAGAATTGATCAATGTTCAAACATTTCAGGTGCCATATGATCAAGAACAAGTAGTAATGGAGGAAGAAGTCCAAGCCGCACAGAAGGAATTGGTGAAAAACAAGGCTCCACATATTGACAGAAATCCCGTTGAGATGTTTCAAGAAATGGGTGCAGCTCTGAAGGTACTCATTTATGCCAAGAAATTTGAAGACAGTTACCTAGCCAACCAACTGGAAGAGATCAATATTTTTGCCCATTCCAAAGAAAGGTGATTCAACAGAATGTGGTAATTATTGAATCATATTATTGATATCACATGCGAGTAAAATTTTGCTGAAAATAATTAAAAAATGATTGTCTCTGGATATTGACAAGAAACTGACAGAATTTCAAGCTGGATTCAGAAGAGGGCATGAAATGAGGGATATTATTGCTGATGTCAGATGGATCTTAGCTGAAAGCAAATAGTACCAGAAAGATGTTTACCTGTATTTTATTGACTATACAAAGGCAGTCAACTGTGTGGATCATAACAAATTATGGATAATAGTGCAAAGAATGGGAATTCCAGAACATTTACATGTGCTCATGAGGAACCTGTATGTAGACTAAGAGGCAGTTATTCAAAAACAACAAGGGGAAACTGCATGGTTTAAAATCAGGAAAGGTATGCATCAGGGATGTATCCTTTTGGTATACTTATACAATCTGTATGCTGAGCAAATAATCCGAGAAGCTGGACTATGTAAAAAAAAAAAAAGAACAACAACAAAACATGACATCGGGACTGCAGGAAGTATTATTAACAACCTGAGATATGCAGATGACACCACCTTACTTGCTGAAAGTGAAGATCATTTGAAACACTTACTGATGAAAATTAAAACTACAATCTTCAGTATGGATTGCACCTCATCATAAAGAAAATGAAAATCTTCACAACTGGACCAATACACAACAATCATGATAAATGGAGAGAAGATTGAAGTTGTCAGAGATTTCATTTTACTTGGATCCATAATCAATGTCCATGGAAGTTGTTGTGATGTTATTTGCTGAACTGACTCATAGTGACCCCTCCTTGGGTTTCCGAGGCTTTATCACTATGGAAGTAGATTGCCCAACCTTCCTTCTGAGGAATGGCTGGTGGGTTTGAACCGCCAGCCTTCTGGTTAGCAGTCAAGAAATCAGACATTACATTGTACTGGGCCAATCTTCTGCAAAAGATCTCTTTAAAGTGTTAAAGAGAGGTGTCACTTTGAAGACTAAGGTGCACCTGAGCCAAGCCATGGTATTTTCAATTGCCTCACAGGCATATGAAAGTTGGACAATGAATGAAGAGGACTGAAGAAGAGTTGATGTCTTTGAATTGTGGTGTTTATAAATAATACTGAAAACACCACAGACTGTGAGAAGAATGAACAAATTGGTCTTGGAAGAAGTACAAATGCAATGCTACTTAGAAGAGAGAATGATTTTGTCTCACCTACTTTGGTCATGTTTATAGTAGGGACCAATTCCTGGAGAAGGATATCATGACTGGTAAAGTAGAGGATTAGTGAAAAAGGGGAAGATCCTCAATAAGATGGAGTTATGCAGGGGCTGTAACGATGGACTCAAGCATAGCAAAGTTTGTGAGGATGGCCAGGGATTAGGGAGTGTTTCATTCTGTTGTACATGGGGTTTCTATGAGTCAGAACTGACTCAGTGGCACCTAACAACTGTAACAAATGGAACACAGACATAAATGTAAAATGTGAAATTTATAGAAGAAAATCTTTGTTATGTTTGGCAAAGTTCTTACAGAGGACACAAAAATCACAAACAAACAAACAATAAATAAATAACCAATAAATTTGGACTTAATTAAAACTGTTCATCAAAAGACACACCTATGAAAATGAAAATACAATCAGAGTGGGAATAATTATTTGCAAAATTGGTAACCATAATATATAAAAGAAACTCAGATCACTATGAAGAAAACACACAACACAATTTAACATAAGGGTCAGGGAGTGAACAAAATTCCCCAAAATATGTGTCAACTTGGCTGGGCCATCATTCTTAGGGGTTTGGCAGTTACATAACAATGTAATTTGGCAGTTATGTAATGATGTCATCATCTCCCATGATGTGATCTGATGTGATCAGCCAATCAGCTGTAAGGGGAACAGGGTGGAATGCATCACTCTTAATCAGGTCACAGCCCTAATTTGATATAAGGAGAGTGTCTTTGGGGTGGGGTCTAAATTACCTTTTATATAAAAGTTGTAAAAGATCTAAGATATATATATAATATTATATATAAGATATAAAAGGAGATAGAAGCCAGCAGAGAGAGGGATCTCAGTATGACCAAGAAAGAAAAGTCTGGAGCAGAGTGCCACCTTTGGACCTAGGGTCCCTGCACTGAGAACCACCTTGACCCACAGGAAGACTGATGCCAAGACACATAAAAATCTCCAAGGGACATGAGGGCTACATATATTGCAAGGAGACAAAGACCTTCCCCTAAAGCCAACAGAGAGCAAAAGCATTTCCCTAGAGTTGGAACCCTGAATTTAGACTTCTAGCCTCCTAAACTGTGAGACAGAAAATTTCTATTTCTTAAAGCCATCCACTTGTGGTATTTGTTACAGTAGTATTAGATAACAAAGACAATGGGGAAGGGATTTATATAGAATTTTTATCAAATAAGAGATATGGCTGGTAAATACATACATGAAAATATACTCAACATCATTAGTCACTTGAGAAATGCAAATTAAATAAAAAATGAGATGCTACTATATGCCTACAAGGTTAGATGTAATAAAAAAAAAACAGTTGATAATACTAAATCCTGGTGAAGACACAGAAAAACCAAACCTTCCATACATTACTAGTAGAAATGCAAAATGGCACAGATAGTTTGGAAAACAGTTTAGACCACCCCACTCCATGGTATTCAACCTAGAGCAAGAGATATATGCCTACACAAAAATTTGCAGGCAAATGTTTTTAGCACAATGTGCTAAACATCCCAAGTATCCATGAAACTATAAAAGGATAAATTGTGTTACACAGCATTTATACAATATTACACATACAAAGAACTACCTATATATGCAACAACTTGGATGCATTTCAATTGCTTATGGTAGGTAAAAGAAGTCAAACTCAAAAGGCTACATACTCTATGATTCCAGTAATTTTAGAAAAGGCAAAAAGTACAGGGGCAGGAGATATATATCCTTTGTTACCCATGCTGCAATTTTTTTCCTAGAACTTTAAAATTTTAAAAAAGTGGAATCTGCCTGCATTGCTTCCAGGGTTAGGAAACTGGTTAAGAATTTGTATGGGAAAGCCTCTCAATATAAAAAAATCTGTTGCTGACAAATTGATTCTGACTCATAGCAACTCTGTAAGCAAAAAAAAAAAACTTTGCTGCCTTCGAGTCAATTGGGTTTCTGAGGTGGTATTTTACAGAAGTAGATTGCCCACGCCGCCAGAGCTCCTAACTCTATAGGACAGATTGAAATTATCCCATAGGGTTTCTGGTAGCATAGTGCTTAAGGCACTTGACTGTTAACCAGAAGGCTGGCTATTCAAACACATCAGCCACTCCTCTGAAGGAAGGTTGGGCAATCTACTTCTGTAGTGATATCCCCTCAGAAACCCAAGGAGGGGTAGCTATGAGTCAGGTGGACTCTACAGCACAAAACAACAACAACCACAACATAGGGTTTCCAAAGCTGTAATCTTTATAGAAGCACATTGCCACATCTTTCTCCCATGGAGCAGCTGGTGGGTTTGAACAGCCAGCCTTCTGGTTAGCAGTCAAGTGCTTTAGGCACTATGCTACCAGAGATCCTGTAAATAGTCTTAGGTAGAATATTAATATCTTCAGTATTTAAAAAATTTTAAACAATTTGAAATTTTATTTTATGGTGAGATGATTATTTAATTCTCAAATACAAAAATACAGTTGCAGTTCCCTGTAATCATGGATATGTGTCAACTTACTTTGGAACACTCTTAGCATTGCACTCATTCCTGTTATTTGGCATAAATTCAGTTCCGTGATTTGGGCAGGCTCTAGGTTCTGAAGCAGTAGTGACTCACTCCTACAAAGGAAAGATGTAACAGAGGTTATCTGCCCAGGCCCTAGCACCCTCCCCCCACTGCTTTAGAGGACATATCTTATCAGTCACATTCCATCAGTAGATATGTCCTTCCCATCCCTATCTCAACATCCGTCCCCTTTGTGTTCCACACATCAGACTCTGTTTCTGAACCAAAGGTATCTAAAACGAAAACTTACCTTTCTAAAGAGTATCTTGCATTCTAAAAGGGTAAAAAAAAGAGACAAGGTTAGTAGGAGGTTGACAGTGAATAGAGAAAGTGTCAAAAATGCTCAAAGTCAAGGCAAGAACAACATGTGAAGAAGGAAGTACATGTAGGGGTTATATTGCCACAAAACAAGGAATGCCTAGGGCTACCAGAAATTGGAAGAGCTTCTTCCCATAAAGCCTTTGGAGAAAGCATGGTTCTGCTGAAGTCTAAGTCCAGACTTCTAACCTACAGAACTGTGTAAATTTCTGTTACTATCACTTTATAGATGAGGCCTACTGGCACAGTGGTAAAGTGCTCAGCTGCTACCCAAATAGTCAGCAGCTCCAACCCACCATCTGCTCTACATGATAAAGATGTAGCAGCCTGCTACCATAAAGATTACAGCCTTGAACACCTTACAGGACAGTTCTACTCTGTCCTATAGGGTTGCTGTGAGTTGGAATCTACTTGAGGGCAATGGGTTAATCACTTTACAGTGATTTTTTAAGGCAGCTCTAGGAAAGTAATAAATTGCTCACTTATTTATTTCCTATGCTGGTTTGGTGTAGTGAATTACCTAACACAGCCCTTTCAGCCATAGTCTTTGTGACTCCCACCCAGTGATTAGGTGGGACTATATAAGAAGCAGTGGCAGAGAAACAGTGGCTACGGAGGCAGTAGAATCAGGAGGCTGGTGGGAGATGGCACATCTCAGCCCAGTGAGTGAGAATGTTGAGCATGTTAGATCAGGAGGCTTGCTGGTAGAGTGGGTTAGCCTCTGGGCACTTGGTGAAGCTGGCTTTTGAAGCCAGTGTGGCCAACGCACAGAGCGAGACAATGAGCACCTTCAGGCAGAAGGACCCCTGGCTGTGTGGAGTGTCTCTGTACTTATTAGTAGAACCTGCAGGCATTGTTGAGAAAAGTCTGGCCTGATTGAAGAACTGTGTTCTGGTTACCTAGTGCTGCTCTGATAAGAATATACCACAAATGCTATGGCTTCAACAAACAGGAGTTTTTTCTTACAATTTGGAGGCTTTAAGTGCAAGTTAAAAGTGCCAGGCTCTAGGGGTTGGGTGAAAGCCCCTCAACTTTGGGGTCCTGCTCTGCCTTCTGCTCCTAGCCCACTGGAGCTAGAGGCTTTTCTTCACTCAGGCAGCTGCTGGCTGCTGAGGCTGACAAGCCCAAGGTTGACAAGTAAAAAGGCATAGTCCCAATGTTACTAAACCACATGGCAGGCCATTAATTTAAGTCCCTTGTAAGTCCCAAGGTCGTCAGAGCTTGGCAGACTACTGAACAATGACATGGCTACATGCATGGTCCAAGAGTGCCATAAGCTAGAGACCATTCCCCAAAGCTTCTCCTTATATACAGGAAGCAGACCACATCCCTAAGGCAGCTATTTAGCTGCTTGTGGTAGATCCCACCATGGAGTTGATTGTCAGTCTCATCATGGGTAATAACTACCATCAGCTGCCCAGCCACTCAGTCAGGCCCAGCCAAGTTGACATACAAATTTAACTACCACAAATTGTATCTTGAGTCATTTTTAATACTGAATTGTAACCTGTTACTTCTCCAATAAATCCCATAAGCAGAGTATTGTCTGTGAGTTCTGTGAGCCCACTGCAAGAATTATTGAACCCAGCAGAAAAGTAGAGAGTAACATAGGAGGGACAGTTGATATAAAGAAAATTGTTACAAAGGCTGGAGACTGGAATTATGTCTGACCTCTGTTTCATAGGATCAGCCATGGGCTGTTGTTAATATTGATTCTTGTCCCTCCTTGTGAAGTTTGAGGTGGTCAGATGCACCCACCATGCCATTTTTACTAGGGAACTAAGAGATGAACAGGTGAGGAGATCTGCTAAGGCTGGAGAGGGGAATTGGAGCCAAGTTAGAAACTGAGCACTACTGGGTCACACCTATATGCACTGTCTGGAACTAGGCTTGGCTCTAGAATTGAACTGTTTCCTAAGGATTTGCATCTAGAAGTTTCTCAAACCAGTGACTCTTGTTGCCAATAATGGCCATCAGAGAAATAAGACGTCTTAGTTGTTGCTGTTGTTGTTATTTGCCATCGAGTCGGCCCCGACTCATAGCAACCCTCCTTGGGTTTCCAAGGCAGTATCACTACGGAAGTAGGAATGCCCAATCTTCCTTTCGAGGAGTGGCTGGTGGGTTTGAACCACCAGCCTTCTGGTTAGCAGTCAAGTGCCTTAGGCACTATGCTACCAGAGCTCCTATGAAGTCTTAAGATAGTAATTAATTTATTTTTTGAAAAGGCTACGCATGTTACTGACAAAATTTAAAATGCACAGTACTATATAAATGCAAGTCTTGTCCTTGATTCCTAAGGTTACTATTGATTAAAATGTGCATGTTTATCTTGCCAGGGACAGTGTGTGAATATATATATGTTGTTATTGTTGTTATGTGCCCTGGAGTAGGCCCTGACTCATAGCAGATTGCCCAACCTTCCTTCCTAGGAATGGCTGGTGAGTTTGAACTGCCAGCCTTCTGGTTAGCAGTCAAGTGCCTTAGGCACTACACTACCAGAGCTCCCTGAATATATATATACATATAAATGAAAAAGAAAGATACAAGTTTTCTTAGTGAAAAACATTTATGTATACATACATTTATGTATACATACATTTATTTGTATAAATTTATATGTATACATAAAAATTTTATATGTATAAAAAAATTACATGTATACATAAATGTATGTATACATAAAAAAATAAATTTGTAAGTATACATAAATGTTTTTCACTAAGAAAACTTGTATCTTTCTTTTTCATTTAATGCAATATCTTGAAGAGGTCTGTTTAGTGCCTATGTTGTTGTTGTTGTTATGTGCCGTCGAGTCGGCCCCGACTCGTAGCGACCCCTCCTTGGGTTTCCGAGGCAGTATCACTACGGAAGTAGGATTGCCCAACCTTCCTTCCGAGGAGTGGCTGGTGGGTTTGAACC